TGGGAATGGGAGGGGTTCAGATCGTATGGTGTACGTGCACGGACATATGGGATAATCCTGTGAGTGTGGTGTGTGTGTGTGTGTGTGTGTGTGTGTGTGTGTGTGTGTGTGTGTGTGTGTGTAGATGAGAGGGGGGAGAGAGAGAGAGAGAGTGTTGTGGGGGTGTGAAGAGATTTCAGCAGCTCTTGTTTTTTGGACACTTAATATTTTCTGGGTATTCGTCTAAGTGTTTATGCATTTATTTATTTAATGGAGTGTGGTGGGGAAGAGGCATGTATGTGCCACAGTGCATTTATGGAGGCCGGAACTCGATTTATGGGAGTTGGTTTTCTCCTTCCACCATACAGGTTCCAGGAATTAAACTTACGTTGTCAGGCTTGATGGCGAGTGCCTTTATCCACTGACCCATCTCGTCAGCCCCATAACATTTCATTCAATCTTTGCAACAACTCTGAGGTGGATAACGTGGTTCTCAAGACATGGAAGGGGGTCATTAGCTTATGGTACTGGTGGAGCAGTAGTAGTTGATAAATCTCAGATTTAAACTTAGGTTATGACATTCTTTCCCACCAGGGATCTGCCAGCAGACCCCTGCAGACCACCCACCATGAACCACAATAAAGGATGGGAATGAGGGTAACTGTGTGTGTGTTGTGTGTGTGTGTGTGTCTGTGTGTGTGTGTCTGTGTGTGTGTGGTGTGTGTGTCTGTGTGTGTGTGTCTGTGTGTGTCTGTGTGTGTGGTGTGTGTGTGTATGTGTGTGTAGTGTGTGTAGTGTGTGTATGTGTGTGATGTGTGTGTATGCGTGTCTGTGTGTGTGTATATGTGTGTCTGTGTCTGTGTGTATGTGTGTGTGTCTGTGTGTGTGTAGTGTGTGTGTCTGTGTGTCCGTGTGTGGTGTGTGTGTGTGTGTGTGTGTGTGTGTGTGTGTGTATGATGAAAAAGGCTCAAGTGTCACAGGATGACGTCATGAGGCCCAAGGAAACCCTGCTAGTAGTGACAGCAAGGCTTCTCTAGCACTTGCTATGCCCTGATACTACCTTTTATCAATTCACTTGGTCCCCACAGCCTGTGAGGTCTAGCCTGCCACCATCCCCCACCGAATTGGGAGCTAACCCAGGGATAGAGGTGAGCAGAGTCACCGAATAAGACCCATGGTCAACCCCTGTGCTGCTCTGGATGCCATGTGTCCTAGCTCCAGCAACCTGCTTCTCAGCAGCAGCGTTCCCAGCATGCCAGGAGGTTGGAAGATGCTAGAAGCAAGATTGGATGTGGGGCAACAAGAGGAGGCTGAGAGAGAAGTTCAGGTTTCTTAGTAGGGCTGGAGAGGAGGAGGGCTGCCTACTCCCCTTGACTTGAGGCTGGTCCCATTGAGTCTGCATTGGGGTCCCTGCTCGTGAGCACATGGACATGGACTGGAGAGAAAGACTTGTCTAAAAGTCTCCTGTCAAGCTGCAGGCGCCAGAGAGGGAGTCAGGGATGGCAGGGTCCTAACCTGGTCCCTCCACAGGGTCAGCTATGTGGCATCTGGGGTAAAAAAAAGGGACAGTTGCTGTGCGAGTCCCAGGTTTCTATGGAGGGGCTGCTTAGTGTTGGCTCCCTTGGGACCTGGGGGTTGGAGTTCGGCTGCCATGGTATCTTAACTTCGTTAACCTTCAGGTGACTCTCCTCTCTTCCCCCAGGTGTTCAAACAGTGCCCCAAATGCCAGCTCTAGCAATCTCAGCCTCGAGTGTTTGTCATCAATATTTCAGGATTCAAACATCTGTCTAAACAACACCTATGAAATATGAACAGATTGAGGTTTTAAGAAGCAGACAGTGTGGTCTCAGTAGAAGGACAAGGAAGAGAGGGGACAGTGAGGCCTAGAGGGAACATAGGGAACTCACCCACATCCCTGGAAGTGGGTCTGGAGCTTGTTGAGTGGTTGCTTGGCATGTGTGGGTTGGGGGGGTCAGTGTTCTGAACACAGGTCTAAGCTGGGGTTTGTGGCTACAGCATGTGGGATGGTGCTTGCTGGTACTCTGGGTCTCTAGGACCCTGGAAGGGACCAAGGGAGAAGGCTGTGCACTCTTTAGCTTGCTCAGAATACACAAAGGCCATTCCTGCTGGCCAAGGAGAGGACGCAAGAGGCTAGGCAAGTGTCCCGGGTCTCTGGGATCCCAGAGATGCTGCCTGAGGCCTTGCTCTTCCCTCTTCCCTCCTTCCAGGTGGTCACAGCCCAGGTCCTCTCCCCCCTGCAGGGTGCTCAGTGTGTGGAAGCTGGCTCTGGCCTGTCTCCAGCTCTCACTAAGCCTCCCAGGGCCAGCTGTTGCACTCTGTGCTGGACCTTAAGTTCTCGCTCCTTAGCCAGAATTGGGGAGATGGTGTATCTGAGTAAAACAGGAAGTCTTACAGTCTGAGTATCCTCACCTCCCTCCACCTTCAATGGCCTCCAGGAAGCTCATGCCCGAGTTCCCTCCTGGCTGACTGATAGGTCATATCTGTCTGAGAAAATGGGTCCTTGAGCCTCAGTTTCTCCGTGCATACAATGAAGGGGCTGGATATGATTTTCTCTTTTCTCTGAGGTTTCTTCTACCCCCAACACTCTGCATGTTGAGAATTCATGGAAGGCTCCCACCACCTTGGCAGAGACCCCAGGGTCAAAGTTTGGGTTTTCTGCACTCAGGAAGCAAACAGCTGGAGGTATCCTCACTGAGCTGAGCTGACAAGCTGTGATCTAAGCAGGCCCAACTGTGCATCTCACAAGGTCCTCAGCCTGCTGGGATGGTGACAGAGGAGAAAGAGCAGCAAGGCCATCACTGGGAGCTGGCAGAGCCCAACAGGCTGACATGAGATGGGGAGCAAAAGATGGGCACCTGCTTTCCTGTGTGTTCCGGGGACACAGACCCATTTGAACCTGTTCAGAATGTCATTGGCTAGGATGACTGGCTAGGATCTTGTTAACACCCAGTGAGCAGGTCACTGTGGTTCTAAATAGAGTTGGTCCCCAGATCCAGGCTCAGCCTGGTTCCCTAGTCAGGGAACTGGGGAAGCCATATCTAGGGATCTCCAGTACTGGGGCTATGCAGGTCCTTAGCACAAACCAGGGCCTTCTCAAAAGCTGCTTGTGTAGATTACGCAGGGACAGGCTGATTAACAGACCTCTAACCTCTGGGCCACCTGAAGTGGCTCTCCCGTGTCTTCCCTGCCTGGGGGCCTAGACAGAGCTAGGGCAGTAACTATAGGAGCAGTAGCTCCAGGGCCAGCATATGCATTAGGGGAGGGCTAGAAGACCCCACACCAACTGTCACAAGGCCCATTGGCACACAAGTTAGCATCTAGGCCAAGCAGCAGGTCAGTGGCAGCCCTCCAGACTCACCCGAGGAGGCTACCTGCTCCTCAGCCCAGGCCAGAAACAGACAGCAAGATAAATTCTCTCTGCTTTCAGAGTAAAAGCCCTTTATCTCAAGCCCACCCGGGAGATTGACAGGGTTGATGATAGCTGCTGATTTCCCGAGCCTGCAAAATTAGTGGGGGTAGCATGTGGGGGTTTCTGTAATTCTTGGCTGATGGATTAGGTGGTGGGGCAGATCTCTGGGGGAGCAAAGGGTGACCTTGGAAAATGTGGATTCTATCGAAAGGAGAGAGCCATAATCTCCCTTCCTCACACTGGCTGTCAATAGACTGCTCAGTGCCGGTGCGGTGGACGGAAACTGCTCATTGCCTAGCCTGGCGGCTCCGGGGCTGTAGCATTTGACTGCGTGATAAGAAATTGCCAGGCACTTTCTAATTACAATTATCATCATCGTGGATGTCTCTCTTAATTACTTTCTTATAATTAGCTGTTGCTTTTTCCCCTCAGCATTTGTATACTTTGCAGATTTGCTGACATTTGAGAACCCCAAAATAGGGATGTTTGAGGAGGGGGCAGGAAGGTGGGGGGGCAAGAAGGTGGGGGTACAGTGTCTGCACTTGCCAGGCAGCCTGCTACATGAGGGGCTTTAGTGAGGAGAACCTGGGGCCGGCAAAAGATGGAGGGGGCAGATTTGCTGAGCAGGTGTGGCAAGAGTTTAGGAGTGTCATGGAGGGCTCTGGCCTGTGTATGAGCTCCACAAATCCAACACTGGAGCTTTTATAGTTTTAGATTTATTTTACTTCTAGTCATGTGTGCATGTGTGTATGTGAGCATATGCCTCATGGATGTGAATGCCAGTGGAGGCCAGAGGGCCTTGGGTCCCCTGGAACTAGAGTTACAATGTAGTTGTGAGTTGCCAGATGTGGATGCTGGGAATTGAACCCGGGTCCTCTGGAAGAGCAGCAAGTGCTCTTAACCTCTGAGCCATCTCTCCAGCCACCCCCTCCCCACCATCCCACTGCAGTTTTCCCTTTTTCTTTCTCCTCTCTGTTTCTCTGTCTTTGTCTCTCTCTCTCTCTCTCTCTGTCTCTGTTTCTGTCTGTCTCTGTTTCTCTCTCTCTCTGAGACAGGGTTTATCTAGGCAGCCTAGACTGGCCTCAAATTCATCTTGATCCTCTAACTTCACACTCCTGAGTCTCACAGGCATGTATCACCACATCAGCCTGTAGGAGATTATCTTTTTAAGGTAATCAGACTAGCTTCCAACTCACACTGTAGCTGAGGATGACCCTAAGCTCTTGTTCTTCCTTCCTTTACCTCCTTAGTGCTGGGATTAGTGTGTGACACCACACATGATTTATGAGGTACTGGGGATTCTGTCAGCTGAGTTACATCTCTAGCCCCTGAAGGCGATATTACCAAAATGCCAAGGCTGCCCTGTCTCAGGCTAGAGTTTAGTTTTAGGAAGTGAGGCTGAGATAGACCCTCTTGTCAGACACATTTCAAGTTAAACAACTCTAGTCTTATTAAGTTTGATTTTTATCCCCCAAGCCAAAGATACGTTTGGAGCATCCTTGGGACCAGGGACCCATGATGAAGTGGCTTCTGCTTTGTGTCCAGATGGTTGGTTCTCACTGTCTCTTTTCCTTCCCTCTCATGCCCGCAGCCCTGTGCACCGAGGAGTGTATGCATGGCCGCTGTGTTTCCCCGGATACCTGCCACTGTGAGCCTGGATGGGGAGGCCCTGACTGCTCCAGCGGTGAGTCCGGGGGCTTTGGGTACCAGTGGCCCACGGTTCTGACATAGGAAGGGGTGGTGGCATATGCAAGTTCATTCCTGTGTCTCGTGGAGATGACTTTGGATGTCAGGAAGATGCCAGATACAGTTCATGTGTGACAGCGTTTGTTGGGGTCACGGGCTCCAGCGGGATGGGGAGATGGCTCACTGGGGTCTTGAGGACTGTAAATGTAGAGAGTTGTGGGGTCATTTGTGCAGTTTTCTTTTGATGACCCACGTCTATATATGGTCTTTGAGGATTGAGATGAACTTGAGATGATGTGTGTGCCTGTGTACATACCCAGGTGGTCATTAGGCCTGGTCCTTGGCTTGGTTGGTTCAGAGATTGTTTCACAGGTGCCCATGGGTGTACAAGGGGCTGGTATGTGAGGTTGTCAGCTACCAGGATATTTCTGTGTCCCCAGTAGTAGGAGAAGGGGATAGTCCTAGGGGCAGGACACTGGTCCTATATCTCCATGCATAGAGAATGCCCATTTCTCAGACAAACCTGACTAGTAAGGAGTCAGGTACACCTGTGGATGACCCAGTGACCCACAGCAACATGAGACATTATCTTTATTGTGGCACTCGTCCCCTAGAGGAGGGATCTATCAGGCAAAGCTTAAGAAATTCACTGCCGCCAGGCGGTGGTGGCGCACGCCTTTAATCCCAGCACTCGGGAGGCAGAGCCAGGCGGATCTCTGTGAGTTCGAGGCCAGCCTGGTCTACAGAGTGAGATCCAGGAAAGGCACAAAGCTACACAGAGAAACCCTGTCTCGAAAAACCAAAAAAAAAACCCCAAAAAAAAACAAAAAAAAAAAAAGAAAGAAAGAAATTCGCTGCCAGGAGTACAGCTGGAGAGGAATCCTCCTCCACCCCTCTCCCTCTGATAGTCTCAGATGACCCCCTTCCACAGGTGCGTTCTGTAACCCGTCAATACCTGTTTAATGCTGCGGTCCTGTTGGCTTTTTCAGAGGCTTTGACTAGCCCTGGAACCCCATTTTCTCCCTGCTTTGAGCTGGGGTAGACCTTTTTATGGTGACTTGAGTGAAACCATACCTAGGCCAACCCATTAGAGGCCTAAGTCCCACTGTTTTCAAGCCTTGGGGAGCCACCCCTGTGTCCTCTGTCCCATAGGGGCTGGGATGTTGTAACACCTTCGGGTGAAACTTGCTGGGTTTTGACACACATTAGCCTCACAGTGTGTATGCCCTCTCCAGCTCTCTGCTGGGTCGGGCAAACCTCGCTGTGGTCTTTTGATAGGCAGATTTGATACATGGTACCTATGTCTTTGTCTAGCCAGGGCATGAGAAAATGCCAGCCAAAGGAAGGCATGGGATGTGTGGTTTTTGTCTAAAGTCTCGGGGACTCTCCTGGCTTGGTGGAGGGGTCCATATCTGCTTGGAGCTTCCAAGAGCCCCTCTGTGATGTGTGGGGAACCTCTAAATGACTTCACAGCCTCCTTTTCTACCCACTCCACTGCCTTAAAGAAAGGCTGTGGCTGAGAAGGAAGGCCAGACAAGGAAGAGTGACCCTGAAGGATGTGTGTGTTCGTGTTAAAACAGTTTTCTGTGGACCCGAAGTCCAGGAAGCACAATGGGAGAAATGTCCGAGGGCATGACCCCTGGCCACGTTTGGTTCAGTGTAATTTTTCTGACAGTGGGTCTTCGGGGAAGAAACATCTGACTGGAGTGGGTGACCCTTCTGGGTGACCTTGCTAGCTGCTGCTGCCACCTCTTCCCAAGAATGGGGGTGGCCCGTGAAGGAGGGGATGAGGCCTCAGTCTCTCTCAGGCTGTACGCTTAGCACAGCTGGCTCAGTGCTGCGTAGACAGGCGGGTCCTTTCGGACACTGTCTTTGTCTTGTCTGATCTGCCCTCTGGTGGCCTTTGAGGAATGGAATTCGACAGTGTGTTGAGCAGGTCTTGCACCACAGTGGGTTTACCAAACACCAGGGTTACTTCATAGAATAACACGAGGCTGATTCAACCTCCGTCTCATCACACTTGGGGGCTGGTCAAACCTAGAGCTTGCCCCCCATCCCCTAAATCCTCCTGCTAAGCTGAGAGCCACCGTCTCTGGTTCAAAGGACCTTGCTCTCTGGGACCTACTCAAAGGCATATACTACTGGAGCAAAAGAAAGTCCTAGAAGACTGGTTCTGTATGAGTCAGTTTTATTATCGCCGTGACCAAACCTGAGAGAAACAATCTGAGAGGGGATGGATTTATTTTAGCTCACTGTTCCAGAGAGTTCAACCCATGGTTGCTTGGCTAAGCATCATGGTGACTGGAGTGTGTGGAAGAGATTCTTTACCTCATGACTGACAAATAGGGAGGAAGGAAAGAGGGAGTTGGGAGGAAGAGACCAAGGACAACAGGCCTGCCATGGACTCACTCCCTGTCACTACTTCCTCCAACTAGTCCCCACTTCCTAAAGTTTCCACCAACTCTCAAAATAATGCCACTAGCTGGGAGAAGAGCCTCTCAACACATGATACTGTGGGCCACTAGCTGGGAGAAGAGCATCTCAACACATGACGCTGTGGGCTATGTTCTATGCAGTCCTCCATAGGCTTCATTTTGAGGGAAAACAGCGTTAGATAAAGAGAATTCATAGATTCTCACTTCAGAGCATTGGAAGTCTAAATGCCTGGCTGAGAGCTTTCCCATCTTTCAATCCTTCTAGAGATAGGACACTCACTACTTCCTGTGGAAGCTCATTTTGGCTGCTGGGAAATCTTCCCTTCTCCCCAGTGGAAATATTTCTCTGGTTCCTACTGGTTGGTTCTTGCTCACAGTGAAGACAAAGCAGGCTGATGGATTGCCGTGATCTTTTTCTTGGCATGTCTGGAATTTCTCCCAAGGAACCCATTGGACAAGGCCACAGGCTGTGCATGTGGAGTGAGCCGCCCCAGATCAGAGGCGCCCCATTGAGGCTGCATGGAAGAAACAGGGGCTCCTCCCACAGCTCAGCCCTTCGGGTATTACAGGACAGCCGCTGATCTCCTCCCCTTTTCTTCTTTGAGATGTGTCGTGTCTTCTGGGACATCATTTGGGCTGCCTCCCCATCTGTCTTTTTCCTATAGCCTGCGGCCTTTATTTCCCTTAAATTATCATGCCTACATCCAAGCACATGACGGCATGCTCACTCTGACCAGCGTTGAGAGAGAACAGTGTTGTTGTTTTTTTTTTTTTTTTTTTTGTTTTTTTTTTTTTTTTTTTGTTTTTTTGGTTTTTTCGAGACAGGGTTTCTCTGTGTAGCTTTGCGCCTTTCCTGGAACTCGCTTTGGAGACCAGGCTGGCCTCGAACTCACAGAGATCCGCCTGGCTCTGCCTCCCGAGTGCTGGGATTAAAGGCCTGCGCCACCACTGCCCGGCAAGAACAGTGTTGTTCTTATCACTGCTGCCATCGATTGAACTTGACCATGCATTGGACACTGTCTTGATCTTATTTCGTCTTCACAGCATCCCTGTGCTGAGGAATGATTAGGCTTGTTTTACAGATGGAAAAGACAGCACAGAGAGCCGTGTGGAGAAATGCTCATAGACACAGCTCACCGGTAAATGGTGAGACCAGGACGGAGCCAAAACCTCGGGTTCCAAATCTGAACTCTGCAGGTGCATTTACCCATATGGGCATGCGTAGGGGCCAGAGGTCAGCAGAGTGTCTCTTCATCTATCACTACCTCTTATTTTTTGAGGCAGGGTCTCTCACTGAACCTGGAGCTCACTAAGTAGGCTGGGCTGCCTGGCCAGTGAGCCCCAGGGAGTCCTTCTCTCTCTGCCCCATCCCTACCAGTGCTGGGGCTAAATGTGTGCTTGGCCACACCTATTTTTTTTAAAGATTTATTTACTTACTATGTATACAGTGTTCTGTCTGCATGCATGCCTGCATGCCAGGAGAAGGCATCAGATTTCATTATTCATGGTTGTAAACCACCATGTAGTTAGTGGGAATTGAACGCAGGACCTCTCAAGAACAGCCAGTGCTCTTGACCTCTGAGTCATCTCTCCAGCCCCCGCCCCTTTTCATGTGGGTGCTGGAACTCAAAACTCGATAGAGTCTCGGGCTTGCTCAGCAAGCTCTTTTGCCTCGTGACCCATCTTCCCAGCCATAAACCTGAACTCTTAATGATTGTAGTCTTCCTTTCGGGTGTTCAATCCTTGTTAATACAGCCTGGGGCTGAAATAAGTTTTCCTTTTTTAAATTATGTGTATGTGGGGGTGAGGAGTATGTGCATGTGACTGCAGGTGTTGATGGAGCCCAGAGGCACTGGGTTTCCTGGAGCTGGAGTTACAGGCAGCTGTGAGCTGCACAAGGTGGGTGTGAGGAACTGAGCTCAGATCCTCGGGAAGAGCAGCGAATGTTCATAACCAATGAGCTGTCTTTCTAGCCTCTGAAACAGGATTTCAATATGAGAACATAGTTGCTCTCAGGAGAAGGAAGAATGTGTTTATAAGCTTTGATTCTGAGACACCATTGTAGGAAAACACAACTTAGGGTCAGATGTGATCTAAGCATCAGGCCTGCTTGTGTTGCTGGACACCCACCCCCCTGCTCTGCATGGCCCGGGGAGGAGTGTCTCTCCAACTACAGTATGTATCCCTAGAGATCCCAGGTTGGGTCTGTACATAGGATGGGAAAGCCTCAGATTGGCTTCAGGAGGAAACAGCAGGTTTACTTGGTTTGGATTTTTTCCCCACTGATTTTTAAATTATACCTGTTCACATTAAAAAGAAAAAGTTTAGGCCTTTAATCCCAGCACTCGGGAGGCAGAGCCAGGCAGATCTCTGTGAGTTCGAGGCCAGCCTGGGCTACCAAGTGAGATCCGGAACAGGTATCAAAACTACACAGAGGAACCCTGTCTCAAAAAAAGAAAAAAAAAGAAAGAAAAGAAAAGAAAAAGTCTACCAACAGCATAGATTCCAGGTCACAGCCCACGTCACCTCTAGCCTTTGGATGGTAGGAACCCTGGCATTTCTC